CCAATTGCCATTAAATTTTCATTACATTCAATCTCGGCAAAAAGAGGAAAACTCAGTTTTTTTTTCACGCTGGACCTCCTGTATAATCTTCGAATGTACCTCCCCAAAACATATATCGAAATTATTAACTACTACAATAGGATTGTCCGTTTTGTTTCCATTTATTTGTAACTCATCTACCGTGTTTGCAACAGGTCTATTTTTAATAAACGTTCCACAGTTTTTTAAAATTCGAGCCAGCCTACTCCCAGTTATTATTAAAGTACGGGCTTTGATTTAGTTATTTAATGTATTTTAGACCTTTAATTTTTTAATGACATTTTCATAACGTCTTTAAATCTTTCTAAGCCTTATTTTTGTCCTTTATTAACTCTAGCATCCACGATGACATCCAATAAATATTTTGATAAGTCCAATTAGTCAGAATATTCGTTTAAACTTTAAACACTAATTACTTCATAACTTATCAGCCACGGAGCCACAGGTGATATTATCAATCAAAATGAGAAGGTGTGTTTCGTGAATATAGCGGCGAATGCTAGTCGTTAAGAAAAAAAAAATCGAAAAATACGAATTATCATATTAATGTGTAACGCAAATTCTTCATACTTTTTTTTTCAAAGAAACTTCCACAAGCTACTGTAATACTATTTACAAATCTTCTGGACTCCTGTTGGCCTCTTCATAACTAAACTAAAAGTGACTAGCAATCTTTTCTGCTTATATAGTGTGAGGGAGGCGGAGCTAAAGGAGGGGCATGAACATTGGCTCAGATGACTGATTCCCATATTGGGGAAACCTGACCGCGGTGGGTTCTCCATTATCACCAGTCATCTCAGATATATTTATGGGAGCTTTTCGGAAGAAAGCCCTTCACACCTTCCATCTAAAATAATAGAAACGCTACTTCTACTACTTGATGAAACTTTTGATGTTTGGCCTCATAGTCAAAAATCCTTCCGAGCTGAGCCAATTTACAAATAAAAAGTAACAATATAAATATAATATAAGTGACAAAACAACAACTTAGATAACAAGTTTTTTAGATAACCATATAAAAACACAAAAACAGTAAGAAACAGTAAACAAACAGTACCACACTAGTTACAACTACAATCAACCACCTGTTTTAAATTTGTCTTAAATAGTCGAAGACAGCCAGCAAAGGGATCAACAGAACAACTGTTAAATAACCTCAAGGTTCGAGTTAAAGGAGAAAAATAGTCATAGTTGGCGTGATGAAATGGAAACAAAACATTGGGGAACTCTGACGTCTCTAATAGATGTTAAAAATAATGGACTGGAGGAGAGCCGGACAGTTATATACACCGTTCAAAATTTTTTAAAACGTCAAGATATCGGAGTAGATTCTTCTAATTTGCAGACCATCTATCCCAAAAGGCTCACATACCTTAACATAATTAACGTGAAAGTTATTGTAGATATTTATTCCCGCTCTGTATGTTAGGGACCTCAGAAATGCCCCCTGAATAGTCTCCAATCTATCAATGTGACATCTGTAATGTGGAGACCACACTACTGATGCATACTCCAAACTAAGGAGCAATAAAGGGTTTTTAAACAGTCGGATGAGAGCAATGTACTATTACGGGTAATAAAACCCAGATCTCTCATGCCCTTATTAACAATATCCTCCAGCTGATCCAAAAAGGTCAGTTTACTGTCAAAGATTCCTAGCTTTGGTGATACACACTATCGTTGGATTGTTAATAATATATCTATTTTGAAGGGTGTTAAGCGATAAAAAGAAATACTAAAACACTTTCCAACATTTAGATCCAGACCATTTTCTCTGCACCACGAACTGACATTATTAAAGTCGCTCTGAAGAAGCTGACCGTCTATAAATGAGAAATGATGTTTTGTAAAATTTAAAATCATCTGCAAAGGCAATATGTTCAGAATAAAGAACTACATCACTCAGATCTCTTATAAACAAATTAAGGAAAACTGGACCCATGTGTGAACCCTGAGGCACACCCGAGTGCACCACAATTTCGCTGGAAATATAATTGTTGATTCGGACCTGCTGTGTACGCCTTGACGTTTTACCGTAGAAGTCCGAAAGCTACCCCGCACTTGCCACTGATCCCTTCTTTGCATCCAAAACAATACATATCAAAAGTTCTTTAGAAATATAACGTTAAAACCAGATTTACCACTTATCAAAAATATGTCAACATCTTCGATCCGTCAAAGGCAACAGTTACCTACATAATCGTGAAGCCGGACATTAAATATCTTATTCCATAAAACTACAATTCCTGCACGCAATCAATTGTTCTCTCAAAGGAAAATCGAAGAGTCCTTAGAAATCTGTAAGCAACCAATCTTAACCGTGACTCAGGTCTTCACCAATATGGGAATCAGTGGTTCGAAAATGGAAAATGTTCAAACAGTATATAAGCCAGCAGTTTCACCTAAGCTCTGAAGAAGTCAACAGGATGATTGGCAAAACGGCAGCAAGTTTGATTCATCAACAACCGACGTAGAAGAAATCCAGAAGGAAGAGTTGTAAATGGTATTCTTTGTAGAGAAATTGCGGTTTTCAGATATTTCTGTTTTCTTCATCTTAGCGCCCAGTGGAATGATCTTTAACTTTTATTGTCTGTTGTTTGCATTTGACGATGATGATTAAAGTTTGATTAACACAGGGCAGGATTTAATTATTTAAAGGTTATGCAAATTGGATTGCAAAAACGTAACATAAATTCAGAATCGATTTGAAACGCGAATGTTACAGACTGATTTGCATGCGGGGGACTACGGGGACTGCTTTTGTTCTAGTATCCAATAAAATCACAAATACGAGCGAGAAATAGAAATTGGATTGGATTTGAAGTAAATCATTTCCGGGCACGAAAATATGCACAGAAAATGCGTCACTGCAATGAACGATTTATTTTTGAAGAAGTGCGATGCCGTCACAGCTCCAAAAAAAATAATCAGTATAGTAACAGTTTAACAACTGACACCAGGTTGAGGAACATATACAAGGCAGCTTGGTTATATGACTTGTTAGAAGTATATGAGATTTGGAAAGATGGATTCATATCACAACACTCACTATGTGTCGATTAATTTTATATTTCACTAAAAAAAAAGAAGACTAAAATTAAATTAAATAATTAATTAATTAATGAATTAAATCAAATTAATGAATTAAATTAATATTCATGATTTTCAATTTAAGACAGAAATTTACAGAAAACAAAAAGTTCAAATAGTTCCAGAAAAGCTAAAATTACAAGAAAGACAAGTTTTCTAAAGCAATATATATACAGGGGTATACTAAAAATATCTATAATTTCTTCTGGACCAAAAAATAGTAGAATAAAAAACATAAATTTATTTTTGAACTGAACAGTAATAGTACCAATAAAATTCTCAAACTATTACACTTACATTTCTGTCAGTAAAGAAAGTAAATTGTATTAGAAGATGGGGATAAACTGTGCATCTTCTGAAGTCGCTTCAAATAATGATGTTAGCCAACGAACCGCAGGCTACAATTCTGTGAAACTACTATGGAAATGTGCAACTTAAATCTATTTTTTCGTCGTCAGCCACGTTTTGTTTAAATGGTACGGTAAATAAAAAAAATGTAGATATTGGAGTACAAATAATCCCCGATGGATTAGAGAAAATCACACACAACATCCACAAAAAATAAATGTTTGGGCAAGGATTTTAAATCAAAAAATATATTAGACCTTATTTGTCCGATCAAAATCTTACTTGTTTAACAATTTCCTCAAAATGACTTCATTCCTACTTTCGGAGTTTCTTTACCACATCCAAATCATCCTGACATACCCGATAGACAAATTTGGTTTCGACAGGCACTAAGTAAATATTTAAACACGGTCCTTCCCGGACATTGAATTGATAGAAGATCAATAGAATGGCCTGCAAGATCTCTAGATATTACTAAACCACAAAATTTAGATGATTTAAAATTTAGAATTAGATGCTAAATAAGAAGAAAAATGTTTTATGAGGGTTATATTGTCAAGAAGTTAAGTTTCTTTAATAATTTTTCTTCCATTTTTACTCACTAGCCATCTTGTAATTGGTCTTTCTGAATGTGTGTTGTGTTAAACAAATTACAAACTTCTTTTGCTCATAAAAAGTAAAATTTAACACATAATTCGAAAATGGATTTTGAAAATTGACATTCCATTTAAAAAAGGAAGTTGGTATGGACAACCATTTTTTGATCGTCCCTGTATATTTTCTGTTTACTGCAAAATAAATGAACCTCTTTCATATTTTAGCCGTTCACTTTATAATCGAAAGTCGAAACTATTTACGTCGTTACGTAGAATCAAATAGCGTAAATTTCTAAGCAATGTTAATATTGATTTTAAATTATATTTTCATTAATTTAATTTTCTATTTACGAACTCAACGAATATGTGATAACACACAAAATGTCTTGTACTTCCAGGTTAAAACGGTAACAACTTTCCAGCGGTTTTCTAACCAACCAAAGTTTCTTGCAAAACTGAAATTTCTTTAAAATTGCAAAAAATAGAAAATTATAAACAAATATGCTTAATATCTTTTGTGGACTAAAAAGTTTAACAAAATATTTTTAAACTAAGCAATTGTCACATTTATGCACAACACTATTTAAAATAGCTATAGAGAACTTCCTCACAAATATAATTTAAAATAAATCCATGGAATCTTTACCCAAATTCATCTAAAATGTCATCTACCTTGCACCACTCTGTATATTATTTAAAATAAAGTTGCTTTCGATCGAATTCCAATCAACGTCGTTATATCCAAAGGAAAAAAACATTGTGGAACACATTCCATTTCCGAAAAAATGAGGAGCGGTGGATTCTGAACTTTAGACATTTTATTAATTTCTAGTCAGCTTTCTTTTGGATATAATGCCCGCAGCGTGTCGGGAATATATGTGGGTGGATGCGCCGAGTTTGATGCATGCTTGCATACGTATGACAAACCTTCCACCCCGAACTGTTTAGACTTCGGCCTGGGCTTTGAACATGTTTAAGAAGTTGTACATAACCTCTCCGAAGCCTTCGCTAACCTAAAAAAAGCATTGAACGAGCTAAACGCTAGGAAGTGAAACAGGCATGCTTTATGTGTCGGACAAGTAAGACGTATTTGATATGGTTTGTGTGTGGCAGTAGTGTAAACGAGTAGACATTTACTTAAAAGACGAGTCACGAGTGCCGAGCTTGCAAGCCGAAGTGTGTGATTAAACTGGACACGAAAAACTGGCAATAACTTTATTTTTTCGAAAAAAGAAAGCGTGCTGTCTCGATCTGAACATTGGACATTCGATTTTGAAAAATAATTATAAAAAAAATAATTATAAATTGATCGACTGCTGGTAATGGGGATTCTCGTTTTTCCTTTGTTTATTTATGTACACTATCGGGCCCAAGCATTGCAAGGAATAAAAAAATCGAAGAAATGCACAATATTTTACAGTACAGAAGATAATGTTCAGCCATTTTGATTCTATAATTTCACGTTTAGTTGCATAGCAAGCCCTGATGAATAAAATTCTTGAAGTTTGGAGAAACAAAAATACTTAATGTTTTAGGAAAGTTGATCAACTTCATGTTATCTATAAAATAAAAGTTATAAACCATAATGAGCTACTAAAATGGAAAATAGTTTTGTTATTTTAGAGTCCTGAAAATATTGTCCGTTCTTTATTATTTAATCGACCTTTTTTTTTTGGCTGTTTTTGAACAAATAATCCTTCAACTTAATTATGGTACAAAAAGATTTCGGTGATTAATCGATTAACACTCAAAGCATTAAACTTTATGAATTTTTTTTATTTTTAATTTTAAGGATTTTTAATTTGCATGCAATAATTATACCTATTATACATATTATTTGGTGAATTATATTTGTATAAACAATTTAAAACACGTTAACAAAATCTTCGAGATAAGCCCACACAAATTGATATACTTGGAAGATCAAAATATTTTAGCATTTTCTAACGCTTCATAAAAACTTATTATAATTAAATATGCACATTTAACTAATATTTTTTGTTTCTTGGAAAATGGGGGACCTTTATTTATAGAATTATATATTATATGTTTTACTTATACAAAGTGTTCGAGAAAATGGGGAAAATCTGTTTTCTTTCTCGAGAAATTGTACATGTAGATAGATAGATTCAAATTCCTGAACAACTTATAAAGTGAATGATAAAAAAAATAATAAAAGGCGAAACAAAAAATTGTCTGGACCTGGTTCTCCAAAATTTGAAAATTTGGAAAACATCATACCACAAAAAAAACTAAACAAAGCCTCCGATCACTTGGACGACAAATTAAGCAAAGAAAATTGTGTAGTAGCCTTGACTGAATCTAAGAAAAAAAAAAAGGCCCCGGGCATGTCCATATATTTACCGGAGTGTTAAAAGTGAAGAGAACAGCGAGAGGAGTATCAATACTAAAGGCAAGAAGGGTTGGAGCTGTAAAATAAATAACTGGGAAGCTGTTCATGAAAACATTGTAATAGTTAAGCAGGAATTTTATAAAAAATTAGATGAAATAGTTACAGACTAAAATTAATAAAATAGATAAATTATGCTGGGTCCAATTGTAGAGCCAAATCAATAATGGTGGAGCCAAATCAATAATCACTATTTTGTAAAGGTCAAGGCTATATTTTCGAAAAACTAGAAACCACCAAGAAGCTTAGGGCGGCAGTCATGGAGACAATTATCCACACAATAAACGGAGGAAAAGACGGGACGAACACTCAAGTGACTATTCCCGGAAAAATCGTTAATAGTTGAAATAACTACTTCAGGAATCTAGACAAGTATGTACTAGAGGTAAAAGTGAGAGAAGCTGCGAGAAGAAATTTATTCAGACGCAGTCCAGCAGATAGATGCTTAAATGGACATCCTGTCGCCAATGAATAGAAAATGGCTATCATCTTCTAAGAAAGTATTAAATCAAGAATTCTGTGTCTCTTCCACAGTTTTCAAAATATACCTAACAATGACATTAAAGAACTGGACAAGAAACGCCCAGGGTGTCGGAATAGAAATTGATGATTGATAGGAGTTTGTTCAGTTCAGTTAATGACCATGTCATAAAGATGCGAAAGCTAATGGATAAAAGCAGAGAATGGGGCTTGACACTCAACATATCTACCTGTGAGAAGTTGGCAATGGACAACAGCCAAGAAATCCTTCAGTGTCAGGATTATGAGAATCTGGGCATTACATTCGGCTCACATTTTCCGGTCACTTGATATAATAACTCGGTGAGTTAGTTATTATTTATTTACGAAACAAAATCAAAAACGAATGAAAAAGTGCTACAAATAAACGATTTATCAACCAAAACCACACGGAAGGAAAAATTCAGCATTTCAGCAAATTTCTGTCCAACTTATGATAAATGGCCATGACTTATCTTAGAAATAAAATGGAAGGACAACCGTGTTGTCAGTGTTTTGTCAAATGAGTACGGCGTGGAGCCTTTACAAAAATGTAAAAGGTTTTCGGTTCAAGAAAAAATGAAAGTTGATGTTCCCCAACCCCCTGCAATAAAAATATATAACACGTTCATGGGGGGTGTGGATCAAATTATTATATATCCAACTACCGAATTGCCATGAGGGGTAAAAAGTGATATACCTCCATACTGTATTGGATGATTTGTGCGTTGCTAATGCTAGTCAACTAGCCCGCGTATACGGTTGTGAACAGGATAAACTTAATTTTGAAAGAGAAATTTCCCAGTATCTTTTAAAGAAATATGGAGTAAAACCGAAAATGTGTGGGCCAAAGAGATGTTCTATATATTGTACCACTTCGGATGGACAGTTCGTCAACAGCCAAGAAGAAGGTGTTTTTTATGTAAAAACAAAAGCACAAAATCGTGTGAAACTTGTCAAATTCCACTTCACTAAAAATGTTTTGATGAATTCCATAAAATGTAACCACTTTTTAATGTTTCTGTTTAAAATATCAAAAAATAAAAAAAAGATAATTAAGTCTTGTTTTTTTATTCAATAAGCGTTAACGACCCATTATCAAAATCAAAAACCACATTTATAATTTTTTTTTTAACTTTTTTAAATATCATATTTTGTCGTTTATTAATTCAAAACAATGAATTTAGTTGTTCAGTGTGGTCAGTGATATTTTGAATGTTAGGAAGGACAACTGTAGCAAGTGCTATTGAACTCATTGTCTTTAAAAGGTTGTGGTGAAGTGTTGATATCTCTCAGGTGGAAACTATTACAGAGAAGAGCAGATGAAAGGTGTTACAATTCTGGGTTCTGTGACTCGGGTTGAGATAATTTTGCAGCTCAGTCAACAAGAGAGTTGATACCCGACGATTTTTAGGTCGAATGATGATGTGACAATGCATCAAGGTTTCGGTCTGTGTGCTTAGGTTTTATCTAAATAGAATGACCCAATGTTAATTCTGATTTTTCATTGATAAGAATAGCTAAGAATGGGCGATTATTATTAGTTTTTAATTCAATAGTATGTTAGAATGTATAGAATTGAAATGGCTAAGAAAATATCGGAGAGATTCATGAAAATGAAACCAAATAACAAAGGAATAATTAACGTAGCGTTTCCATCATTTTGGATATAGCGCTTTCTTCGCAAAGGCTTCCTTAAAAAATTTGCGAGGACTTGCAATAATGGAGAACCCATAGCTGTCCCCGACGTTTGTTCATAAATGCGTTACAAGAAAAATTTATTCCAGACAAGCACGTTTGAATTAAGATAAATGGGTTTGGATCCAGACTCTCGGATTTTAATATATCTGAAATAATGTGTACGACAGGGTTGGGTTTTGTCAACCTTGCTGTTTAACGTATATGGAGAATATACCATACGGAAAGCGTTAGACGGTTGGGAAGGAGGAGTCATCGTATAAGGAAGGACAGTCTCCGCTACGCTGATAACATCACACCAATTGCCAAAGACGAACACGAAATGTTGACACTTATTAAACGAGTATAGACAGTTGGAGTTTGGCCTTGATTTGAACCCACAGCATTGGAAATACCCAGCATTCAAGCTATCAAGAAGGTAGAGTCAATAATCTCTCTGGGTGCCTATAATCGTAAAAATGGCGAAATTAGATGAAGGACCTCTTGCTAAAACCGCAACGACCAACTTTAACGAAATTTTGAAAGGACAGCATATAACAACCTCAACAACAACAACATTGAACCCACATATCCCATACTAGAAGAACTTAAGAGAGAGAAACAATATACAGTGCCAGCGTAAATGATGTAGCCTTGTATAGAGCACGGCGAAATTTGACGTGCACGTATATAATTAAAATGTCTAATTTTTGATATAAAAAAATATTTCAAAATGTCAAAATGACAAGAGGTTGCCATTTTAAATATTTCTTTTAAATGACCGATATGTGTTATATATATGTATGTCCAATTTCCTCACTACTACCTGGACGAGCAAATAAAGACATTAATGGTATTGTTACAGTCATGACCATTTATCATCTTTCGTACTACGCCATGTATTATCAATAAGCGACAAAAGAAAGTAGGTATCCCCATCAGTCTATAGTATCAAAATCAAAATCAAAAATCAAAAATTGGTCTCAATGCTCAGATCATTTTGAATATCGAAAAGACGTTACAAACAGATACGTCAGAAACACCACACTCTTTTTTAGTTACGTGTTTCATTGGGAACGTCCTCTAGGCCCCCCCGGCTTGCGCGTAGGAAGGAACAAGAAGGGAGGAAAGCGTGACAAATGTAAAACGAGGCGTCTGGAAAAAACAGGAATGGAATTAAAAATAAAACAGCGACGTGGATCGTATGAAAGGTAGGTTCGCGGATATTTCCAGGGGCGTCGGGCCGGAGGGGGCCCTGTGCTATATGTACGTCTGCTCGCACGAGTTGTGTCGCAGAGAGTAAGATGAGTAGTATCGTTGTGACGAAAATCTCTGAAAAGAGAAACGGTAAATCAAATAATCGCCGCTCCAGAAATTATCTCTGGCGACGTGAAAAACGAAAAAGAGACCTGCGGAGGGTGAAAATCGAAAATTTCTGCGGATAAGTGAGCGCGATTCTTTTTTACCTGACTGGGTTTGCTTCTAAATGCCGGCTGGTATTTCCGCCTGATGGACCTGGGGCAACAGACGCACAGGATTCGGAGGAACGCCCTGAAAAATATAAAATTAATAAGTGAAAAATGTTTTTTTTCCCCGCTTTTCCTGCGTGGGCAGGGCTTTTTGTTCGGTTTAAGCTACACCGCGTCAGAAGATAAAATATTTTAGTAATCCAGAATACATATGAGGATGTAAATTTTTGTGTAGTTTCAACTATTCAGTTTTGCCTTAAGAGGGATCAATCTGGTTTACTTATTGCATTTAAAAAGCCTTATATGGCGGCAACTAGGGCCAGCATAAGAATAAAGTTTTAGGGAATAGTGGTGTGGACACTTCTATTTTTACAGTTCATAACACTCGACATGTTTCAACATCTTCTGCCTTTTGTAAATGTGTTTCGATTGATATGATTCGAAAAAGGGCTAATTGTTAAGAACGTTCTAAATGATTCTTTTTTATAATAGGCATATTTAGTTTGTTATTGTTATCGTTTAATAACAAATTTGCTGAGTTTCCTTTCAAAGTCTACGTAAGGGGTGTTTTTTTTTTCGATGTATTGAACTTTAAGTTGCAATTAAACAACAATTCGATTGACATGAATTTTATTTATCCGAAAGATAATCTTGTGGCATTACATTTTAAATACGATTTCTGGAATATGACCGCCACGGCTGGCGCGGATATAGTCTAATCTGGACGTCCAATTTTCGATGACTTTTTCCAGCGTTTGTGGCCGTATATCGGCGATAACACTGCGAATGTTATCTTCCAAATGATCAAGCGTTTGTGGCTTGTCCGCATAGACCAATGACTTTACATAGCCCCACAGAAAGTAGTCTAGCGGTGTTAAATCACAAGATCTTGGAGGCCAATTCACAAGTCCAAAACGTGAAATAAGGCGGTCACCAAACGTGTCTTTCAATAAATCGATTGTGGCACGAGCTGTGTGACATGTTGCGCCATCTTGTTGAAACCACATCTCCTGGACATCATGGTAATTCAATTCAGGAATGAAAGAGTTAGTAATCATAGCTCTATACCTATCACCATTGACTGTAACGTTCTGGCCATCATCGTTTTTGAAGAAATACAGACCAATGATTCCACCAGCCCATAAAGCGCACCAAACAGTCAGTTTTTCTTAATGTAACGATGTTTCGACATACACTTGAGGAGTAGTTTCGCTCCAAATGCAGCAGTTTAGTTTGTTGACGTAGTCATTCAACCAGAAGTGCGCTTCATCGCTAAACAAAATTCGCTTATGAAAATCGGGAACAACGGCAATCTCGTTTTGGGCCCATTCGGCGAATCTACGCCTTACTTGATGATCGTTTAGCTTCCATTCTTGCACGAGTTGGATTTTGTAAGCACGTAAACCAAGATCCTTCCGCAAAATCTTCCATAAAGTGGATGGACACAGATCCAATTCCTGTGCTCGATGGCTGATCGACTCATTCGGGTCTTCCTCAATGCTACGCTCTACACCAGCAATAGCTTCTTCTGTACGCACCGTAAGAGTAAACGTGGTGCGAAAACGTTCCATGGTTAATCGAATTAACTACTCTGATGGACGATTTTGTCGACGATAAAATGGACGTAGTGCGCGATACGTATTCCGCACAGAATCATTATTTTCGAAATAAAATTGTGCTATTTGCAAGCGTTGTTTAGGCGTGAGTCTATTCATGATGAATTGCCAAACCAAACTGAGAATAAATCACTTGACAGCTGTTAAATCGGTCGCCATCTTGAACAGTAATGCCAACTTAAAGTTCTATACATCGAAAAAAAATACACCCATATATCGATTTTATAGAAGAGGTGTAACCTATAATTTGATGATCAAACGCACTTACCCGGTAAGTGAAGTCCGATCGTAATTGTGTGTTACACCTTTTCGTAGAAATCACCAATTACCGCCCAGTGTACCGCTCTGAACAGGACTAAAATGCCCTTTGGTAAATATTGACATTGACAATGTCTGCAATAAACTAAATAAAACCTTTTTCGCAATATTAACAATTAAAGATTCATTTCTTGAGAAGGCACTAATAGCTTTTTACTACGCGTCAGCTTACTCTTCCATTTCACACAATATTGTCAACTGGGGACAAGCGAATGATGCTGAGAGAGTGTTTATACAGCAAAAAAGAATACTTAGGCTGATTTTTAAACTTCCTCCGAGGCAATCATGCAAAGAGACATTTCAACAGCTCAAAATATTAACAATGTCTTGTATATACCTATTTAAAATACTTTTGATCACACATAAAAATAAATATTCACATAGGAAGCATACTGATATCTACAGTTACAATACTCGCAATAGAGAACATCTGCTGAAGCCAAAACTCAACCATATGTTTTATAAAAAATCACTAAATTACGCGGGACCATATTATTATAATTTGCTGTCTCCAAGCATAAAAAATTTATCTATAAATCATTTTAAAAAACACATCAAGAGGCTCCTGTCGGTCAATGCTTTCTACAGCCTGAAAGAATTTGAAGCGTACCTGAGAGCATCGTAAATAACGTCAAAAGTTTACCGAGATTTTTCTAATGTATACTCTCTTTTATTTTAAATTACATTAACTTGTTTGTCATGTTTGTTATATAAATATATACTCGTATTCGTTTATACATTACTTAAGATTATGATATACATTGTTTTTACAATGAAACTTGTAATTTATTATTTGTATTTATTGACGAAACATCCATTGTATCACCTGGTTTTGTGAATAAATAATCTATCTATCTATCTATCTATCTATATAAACGGGCTTTAAAATAGAATGAGGTTAATTTCATAGATGGTAAGTATACCATGAGTGGTGCCACCTAGCGACTAGAAGAGGATGGGTGTATTATTTAATTAGACCAAGTTTAGTATTTTGTTTATCTTTGGGAAATTCCATCACCGATGAATAAAGTGATAGAATTTTCTCGGGCTCAATTTTAAATTAATGCGTGAATTCGGCTCATATGAATCCCTCATCCGGGTATTAATTCGGCTTCCGGACGGAGAAAACTTGAATGTGAAAATGAAGGTGAAGATCTCGTATCATTTTGTTGCCATTGACGCTCGCCTGGAAACAATTCTCCGTTAGTACCAAGCAAGCCACACATACCTATGTATAAATACCCATTATTTTCATGTTTCCTATCGTTATTAGATAATAATTACATGACTATAATTAGTAAATAAAGATTCTATAGTTATTCCATTATTCTATAAGTATTGATATACGTGGTAGTTAAGATTGCGTTAATTATTATTAAATCATCCTTTTTAATCTTATTCATCTTATTAATAGATATCAAACAACATTAGTTTTCTTCGTTTATCTTAGTGCACGTATGCATCTAAGGGTGAATACACAATTAAAAGGGATATAAAGTTAATTAAATTAATCCCTTCTGAATCATTAAATATTAAAAATTAATGATCACAGTAGTCGCTGCATTTAACTTTCAATCATAAATTCTATTCTAATAGAAATGTTTGGCGTAAATGACCCTGCATAGCTTTAGTAATGCTTATATACCCGTTGTCTCAGATTTGGTCATTCTTTCCTCCTGAATTCTACCGCTTACCTAATGTTATGTAATGTTACGTTAGACATCAAAATAAGAGGTCATTTTCATTTATTTATTTATTTAAAAATTGGGTTGTATGCAGTAAAAGGTTACAAGCATAGCCGTTGCGCCTTAAAAAGATATGTTAACAAGTAGATCTAACCTTTAACTATTATCAGCACAAAATTATTAGCATTATGTAAAGTAGACACACTAACCCATTGTCAAACTTCCATTGCCTTTATTTTTTGTTGACACAACGTTTAGCTGGGGACTAATTATAATCCTAAGACTCCGAAGTTTATACAGGGTGTCCAGGTAATACATCGCGTTTATTATTTGTTTTAGAGAAAAATGTTAAAATGTAAAACTTATAGATGTGGGTAAAAGAAACAATTTGAAATTATTTTGAAATATACAGGTTAATTCATAAATATGTGGGAGATCAAACTTATTAACACATCATTAATCATTAATACCTCCTGTTAATGTTCTTACCTAAATGCTAATGCTATAGCTAAACTTAATGTTTCTTGGGGTATATACATTTATTTTATTTATTATATAATACAAAATGTAATGAGGAAATAATTTATTAAATCTGAGATTTCAACAAAACCAATTTTATACGCAATTTTGGAAAAACAATTTAAACACTATAAAATGCAATATTAATGTTGGTAATTATTCCAGAAAAAACACTTTGAAAGGCTTTTTTGAGAAAGATTTAATGGCGATATTTTCACTACCAACAGAGATATAGGGCATTTTTCAATTTTCGGCCCTTTTGAGAAGTCCCCATAACTTTTTTATCTATGAAAATTCTGGATTCTACAGTCCCCTGTTTGCTCATAAATAAACACTTTTTATTTTATATGACAATCATAGTTCTTTGTGATCTTATCATCAGTGGTATAAATTTGTTAATACCTGTTAAAAAAAAGGCGGAAATATATTGCATTTTTTGTTTGAAGAAGTAGTGGAAAGTCCAAGCATATACTCAGGAGCTGACGTAACAAATGCTGTAAAAAATAAAGTTTTGACTACTTTAAAAAAATATAAATTTAAGCCATATCGTACCAGAAACACCCACCAATTATATGTGAAGGAGATGCCGATAGAAGCATACAATTTTGCAACTGGCTTATCGGAAAATGCATTGAGAACATTAATTTTCCACTGTATATTGTTTAGAGTGATGAAGCGGGAAATGACTGTTCCGGAATACAATTCTAATCGCGGGAGTACAGAAAGTCCCGATGCTGCAGTGAATCAAATGGAATTTTCCGAGGTAGATTTGTGGTACCTTATTTTTTTTTCTTTTCTGGAAATCTGACAGTGAATGGTTATATAAATATTTTGCGAACAAGTGTCTTTTTAAAATTTTGAAAGACTTACTATTAATTCTTGGAAAAAGTATTTATCATCAGCAAGGTGGTTGCCGCGCTCACAACGCAGAGATTGTCAGTGAA